TCCTATGGAAAATGTTTGGAGATGTGTATAAAACATGGTATGACTTTTCCCTGCACTGTGTCTCAAGCGCAGCCTACCCAGGGAACCTGACTGAGCGACATTGTATCTCAAGCGCAGCCTACCCAGGGAACCTGACTGAGCTTCCCGGCACTATATCTCAAGCGCAGCCTCCCCAGGGAACCAGACTGAGCTTCCCGGCTGCCTCAGTTACAATAATCAAATGATGTAAGTGCTATCTTAAATAATATCACACATAGAACCTGCTCAAACTATGCACCAGTCCTGTCAGCTTTTGACTTGACTCAGTCCTGAAGTCTTGTGCATTCCTCTTTTGTACTGGTTTTCAAGGCTCCATAAAAATCCCTAAGAGGCAGATATTGCTGGGTCCAGCACACGTACCCGAGATTAACCATACTCCGTAATATAGTCAACGAAGGACTTTCTTTATGAGAGAGAATGTATCGATGTCGACTTCTTTATTATGAGGAACACAACGTTTCGGAGCACAGTAAACTACGTTTATAACGAACACGCTTAAAACGAACTTTTTTTGGGTCCCGGCCATTTGATGTACATATGCTGTATACGCGTATATGTTGTTTTATAACGAACTACGATTATAACAAACTACAATTAGTGGTCCCTTTGAGTTCGTTATAATCGTAGTTCGTTATAACCGTAGTTTACTGCATTTACTTACTCCATCATTAGTTCACTTCTGTCAAACCATCAGGTTCCCCAGCTTCGTACACCACTATCCACCATGACAAACTTCATGGAAAACTGCATTCCTTAATCCACGGGGCATTTGTTACTAACTTGGTGGGCCGCCTCCGTGGTCTAGTGGTAGAGCGTCCGCCCGGAGAGCGGAAGGTCCGGGGTTCGATCCCCGGCCGCGTCATACCAAAAGACGTTAAAAGATGGTACTTGTTGTTTCCCTGTCTGGCGCTCGGCATTAAGGGGCTAAAACAAGGACTGGTCGGCTCGGAGTCTGTGTCTGAGTGGGGTATTCATGTTAAACTGCGGCATGGTATCTCAGTGAGCTAGCACTATAAATCGGCATCAGTCCGGACTAGTACAAGCAGCCACACAAACACATACACGTGCATGCACGTCGCTATATAAGTGCGGACGTTAAACCCAATTTCACCTCACCTCACCTACTAACTTGATGGCCATAGGTACAGATAGATTACTATCCTTCAACAGAGGCTTAGTTTGTAAACATGAAAGTAAATGCCAACTGTTGTTTACTGAGAAAACAACATGTGACTGCTGGACTTCCTCATTGATAACATCTATGTAAAATTCGGGGGAAGACTTAAGCTTCAGGTATATCCATGATTTGATATCGTCCAGCAACCATCAAAAAGCCAATTCCCTTCCACTGATTTACCCACCTGAACTAGAAATAAAGGATACCAGTGAGACCGCCTCTTCTGTTTCATATTTAGATCTATACATAATGATTAACAATAACACTCCAGACAAGAAAGACTGTGCAAGATGGACTTCAACTTTCCAGTGGTGAACTTTCCCTGTATCTCGAGCAATATTTCAATAGGTTCAGCCTTTGGTGTCTACATTTGATTATAACGTTTGAGGTAAACTCGAACATGCTTTTCCTACCAAGATTTCACAGAGCGTCATACGACTCTTGCTCAGTAAAGCCTTCATGACATGTGGAAGACACATTGACGCATCAGTGACCAGCGAAATGTCCCAAGCAATTCCCTATTTTGACTTGGTGAACAATTGACTTGCCTTTGCATGTGCTTGTGAAGGGTGACACCGGTGGGGCAGGATACGCGAACCTTTAACGTCTCATTGGCAATATTCCCTGATCCTACCTCGTGCTTTAACGTCACATTGGCAATATTCCCTGATCCTCCCTCGTCCTTTAACGTCACATTGGCAATATTCCCTGATCCTACCTCGTCCTTCAACGTCACATTGGCAATAATCCCTGATCCTACCTCGACCTTTAACGTCACATTGACAATAACGTCACATTGGCAATATTCCCTGATCCTCCCTCGTCCTTCAACGTCACATTGGCAATAATCCCTGATCCCACCTCGTTCTTTAACGTCACATTGCCAATAACGTCACACTGGCAATAATCCTTGATCTCCCCTCGTCCTTAAACGTCACATTGGCAATATTCCCTGATCCTCCCTCGTCCTATAACGTCACATTGGCAATATTCCCTGATCCGCCCTGGTCTTTTAACGCCTCATTGGCAATATTCCCTGGCGCTCCCTTGTCCTTTAACGTCACATTGGCAATATTCCCTGATCCCCTCTCGTCCTTTAACGTCACATTGGCAATATTCCCTGATCCGCTGGTCTTTTAACGCCTCATTGGCAATATTCCCTGATCCGCTGGTCTTTTAACGCCACATTGGCAATATTCCCCGTTCTGTGGGCCGGGAAGCATTGCCCCCTGTCCTGTCCTGCTTATTCTCCAGAGAGTCAATGTGAGCAACTTGTCATAACAAAAACGAAACTATATAATTCTAACAATAACAATCTATACGTTTGCAATACCGAAACACACGTTCATGATTCCTTTGATCAAAACGCAACATAGAAGGTACTTCATTAAACTAATCACTTGTGATTGTTATAAGATGTTGAAAGGATACTGTTTGTGTTAGCGCCATCATGCACAGTGTTGTAAACCATGCCTGACGTGGTGACGGTGCCAGTTTGCGCTCACAGTTTCCACTCAGCTAGTTAGCATGTGTCGAGCATCAAGACAGAAATATGCCGTTTACCAGGCAACTCCTTCAAAGCTTAATTCGCCCATTTCGCTGCCTAGAGGGAGGCGCCCAGAAAAGCCCGACCCCAAGGGCGGTTTCGATTACGATGACTTCGCTTCGATCTGTGGCCAACTGACTCAGCCTTGCTAAGTCCTCAACCTGGAAGTAACGATTTATTCAGAATTTTGACGTTCTCGAGAAAATTATCTTATTTACCGTGAGATCGGACGACGGCCAACTTGGGCGAATTGCGCCGCGTCGAGTTTAATTTCTTTATGGAGGCGCTTTACACTGACCACATGGTTATAATTTAATATGGAGGCTTTCAATTGATGTAACAGACTGATTGATAGCGGGGCCCAGCCTTAGTAACGACATCAACAGAACACCGGCTAATTTGGCTAATAATCTTTATTGAATAACAGTGTAATGTCCTTCGCTCATTTTCCCGGCGCCATCCAGACCCCCGTTCGTCCACAGCTTCAGAGTCGCACAGGACGATTTTTTAAACTCCTACGAACTTCAGAAATTGACAGCTTAATCAGATTTGTTTTAATTGAAACACTGAAACGCCGGGATAAAAATATACGTTTTATGTTGCTTTTTTTACATCTTAATTTTCACGTCATGGGAATGTTATAATAATTGGTAAATCTATAAATAGAAATAACGCTTTTATGTCCGCGAATAACATAACTGACGTTATACTCTGATATTACTTTGTCCTGACTGACAGACTCAAGAGCGTGTCAGATACATGTAACTGGTCCAGCCTCATACCACACAGGTGCCAAGCATAACGGTAGAGTGTACCAGAAACTCTATCCTACACCAGAGGAGCTAAGCAGTGTTATTAAAGTATGAAATATCTGTTCCATGCAACCATCACATTCTACCATGACGTTTTGAAAATACTCGATTCTGATTGGTCAAAGGTTCACGTTAAATTAGCATGCTGCAATTACCCTCTATGTATATGGTATAGTTATTGTGTAAAATGACTGAAATCTTCAACATTTTGTGAACTGCGTGATTCACATCACGCTTTTAATGTAGTGAAGGTAAATACCACCTGCCGAATACAAGTGTATATTAAAGGGTGACAACCATTCCTTATCAATGTTTCACCCTGTGCTTGGGAATCCGTGTTGAGAAATTGATATATCAGAAACTTAAATTCTAACAGTTACTGGGTTTTTTACATGGATAGGGCACTCAGTTTATAAACACCCTCCCCAAATCACGGACTTTCCCTTCCAGTAATAAAGACCCGGTAAATACACATATTTATTATGATATTCTATTATGACGTTAGTTACACTTACACTGTACATTACTAGGTGTATGCAATCGACCACCTTAGTCTTACACAAACTTGAACATAATAAATTAGAATTAAATAGTAAATCGATATGAACCAGAGTCATCAGGCTATGCCATATCCCCCTGTTCTGGTACATATCAGAAATGGCGTTTTATAGCCCATACTACCATTGGATGCCTGCAGGTCAGTGAAGAAGAAAAATATGGCTGGCTGTTTAGTATTTTCAATATCCCAACGATTTTGGAGTTCCGGAAACGAGCACTGCCTTCATCTTAAGTCATTGTCTTCATGAAAACAAATCATGAAAAAAGAAATTATCCCAAAAGGCACAAACATGCAAGAAATAAAATAAATAAAAACATATCCCAATTCATCGAAAGGCCCCAGTTCACAGCTCTACTGATCTGTATAACAAGTTTCACCAAGAAATAGTAAAAAGTTCAGGGCCCACTTACACAAAGCGATCTTAGTGCTAAGATGATCGTAACTCCCATACTTTAACATAGGCTTACAATAGTCTTAGCGCTAAGATCGCTTTGTGCAAGTGGGCCCAGGAGTTTTTCGCCGGAAACGGAAAACGGCCTGCCGACGGACGGACGGACAACCAGATCGCTATTCAAACAGGGGGATAAAAATGACATAAGTATCATTTAACAACAATTCAAGTATTACGTTTCCTTCACTTCGACAAATAAAAATGATCATGTTTTTGTTGCTGAAATTTCTTAAGAACATCACCACGTGGCTTTGGAAAAATTATTCAGTAAAATGTAATACAGAAGGTATCAAGAAGGCGCAGCATGTCTTCTAGAGATTCCCCGGTACAACGTGGTAGATCTCGCCCAGGACTATGATCAATAAATATGTATTGTGCTCAAAACCATGCAGACAATGAAAAACAAAGTTCATTTGTTACAATCATAGTCATTTAATTTCTATGTAATTTTCAATATTTTCACGACATGAAATATTCTCTGTACAGACAATGTGATCTCTATCTGGAACAGCACTCTCACGCTCTAATATACATACACACAGTCGTCGGCACACGTGACTAGATGAACAGCTGAATGGACACAGACTAATCCCTAAGATACATACAACCAAGTAGCTACATAACAGATGATGCCATGAACGCCAGTCTCCACATCTCCACATAATACTGATATTACTTACAAACAGTGCCCGGCAACAGCGCGCCCTCGTTTATCCATACACCTCAAGTTCGCTGCGAACAAATATTTGTGTTTCGTTCGGAAACCGTTTGTTCGTCAATATTACTGATTATTACACAAGTTCGGATGAACGAGGGTACACTGAACGTGTGGACGAACGCCCACATAATACTGCATGGTCGGTGTCAATATTGTGCAAAGTCGAGACACAATGAGATCACGTGACAGTCTGGATATTTGAATGTGCACACACATCAAAAGTGAATAAATTAGTGAATGTCTTGAAAAACATGGTCATATGACGTTGTGTTTGTAGCACGATATGACTTCAATGTCAAACTTCACTTTGTGGAAGGTGTACGCCTTGGAACCTTCCATGACCTTGGCGGAGCAGGCGGCAGTCTGCCCCTCCCCCACCCCCGGGATCGTCCTGGTCATTCATCAGGCTCTCCTGGGCGTCCCACCCCAGACGAGCGTCTCTGGGGTCAGTGATAGCGATAACCCTCACTTCATTTCCCCCCGAGCAGCGCTGAGATCGGTCCGAGAACTATTTGTCACACAGCACTAGTTTAGTATCTTGAAGACGGCCGTACAGCACCGGTAGCCCCTGTCGTCTGGAGCGGCATCCTCCTTGTGGGGAATTCTCAGGCGTCAACCACTCGCTGATCAACAGCTCACCGCCCATCCGAAAATCTTTGGTATGACTTCGTAAATCCAACAATCTCACTTTGTCCTTTCAGTGACATCACATCCGGTCTGTGTGTCAACTTCCGGCTCTTCTGAGCCCGTGTTTGTAAAAACTCCGCCTTGTGCTAAACGCCATAGAAATCTGTGCCTTGTAAACAACACACTGAAATTAGTGCTGGTCTATAAATTGGCCAAAATGATGTGCTCTACGTCATCAGTTTTTCAGTTCTGACGCCCACACATGTTGCGGCCATCCTGTCCTTCCTTTTCCTTTCTTCTCCGACGACGGACTTCCGGCATCGCTGTCGCACGAATTACTAGATTCCTGAAAGTTAAAGAGAGAGAGAGTAAAATTTCAGTTCAATGAAAAAAACAGGCCATTAAGTACAAATAGGACAAATTATTGTGTGGCTTTTGTTGCGCTGTTCTTTTAGTGACGCATTACGAGTAGCGACATCCTGGCATGTTTATGTTTGCACGTGCAAGTGACACACAAATTATGTACATTTTTTTCTCTTTTCAAGTCTGTCAGTCAGAGGCCTGTCACTTGAAGGTCATAACCTCGTTCTGAAGCCACACGGTCACCACGAGACGCCCTTCCCCAACGGCATGCCGCTGTAGAGGTGGTGTCAGGCGGGAGACCGACGGGATTTATCGATCTGAAGAATTACAAGGCATCTGCCATGAATTTATTGTAATCGTCATTGCTCCGGTGAATATCTGCAAGTTGCCCGGAATCCGTCATGTCCTCTGGCCCACCGCGTCTGCTTAACGTCACCGTCTGTCACGGTCCTTGAAGCGCTCGCCATGTGTCATTGATCTGTAATAAACCACGGAACGCCGGGACATTCCCTCCCATCTCACCTGCCCCTTCCGAGGAGACGCTAATTTTGATGACGTCACAGCACGTGCATGTTAACTGCCGGAAGTGATCAGCTTCACCTCTGAGAGTGGCACCAATATGGTCGGATACAGTTAGTTTACTATTAAAACCCACGGGTCAAGATTCAGGGTTGAGTTCAACTCGAACTATGCACGTGTGGGTTGAGGGATGCTACCTTGCGACCCGTACCCTCCTTACCCCGACCCCCTACCCTCCAAACAAGATGTCGACAAATCTCTCCCTCCCCCTTCAAGACGCATTGATACTTCCTGTTCAATTACAGCGCATCGTGCTACGAAGCCCCGTCAGACAACTAGGCTCCGTGTCATTTTAGACAATCTATACACAGAGAACTAAGTATGTTTAGTTCGAAACCCAACTTTTAAAAATTGCCATGGGAAAACTAATTTTGAATTGGAAACAAGAACATGAACGTCAGATTCTTTCCGAGTCGTAAGTGGTTAGTTCCGCGGATAGTTGAGAACTGGAGAAAAACATTCCCTCACGCTGTGACGTGTAAATTGAAGACCGCTAGAAAATATGTACATGTAAATATATGTTGAAAGATATGTGAGAGCGAACATGTGAAGCCACGGCGAGATGGCCGCGCTGTAACACGAAGGTCGGGATTCCCAGTGAGGCAGCCTGGGAAGAAATTCCCCTTCTATCTCACCCCTATAGGGGGCCATAGCTCGCCCCAACAGGAGATTCTTGCGTTAATCGTGTTTAGGTAACGAGTCAGGCCGCCCGCGAGTTCCTACATCGGAATAATTGCCTATTGCCATAGTGAAAACGCTGGGAGAAAATTAACATCTAAAGATGCGGAGTTTGTGGGAGCCGGTGATGGGATTCATTTCTAACTGCTTATTAAAATTTGAAACGATTTTATAAATATTTTAACAAGCAATGACGTATTTTGAAATATTGGGGCATCATTAACAGTGAGAGTATTTGGGCGTATTTGTGGGGGTTGATGCAAAATTAGGATCGTGTGACACATGAACATGCATTTTTTTTTTTTAAAACATGCTAATAGTTGACACGTGTGTGGTCGACTTTACAATATTCTCAAAAAATACGACACAGCGACATCAAATCTTTTGTTTCATGTAGGTACTGGGAATTAACTGAAATCTTTACTTATTCCGTAATGAAGTATTTATCGCTATCAACTATCACACATGTACCGTCACGTGATGAGAGCGCTGCAAGTACAGATACACTATTGATTTTATATTCATACATTACACTGATGAGAACATTTCACTATATTATACATGTTTTTATAACTGGAATATCTTTTAGAAAGAAAATCGTTTTTAAAGCGAAGAATACAAATTTTGCAAACTTCTTAATATTAAGGCCTTTCAAAGACCTTCTTAATAATGCCTCTTTTTTAACAGAAAACAGTGGTATAAGCCTGTCATGGGTTGGATAACTATCATGGTACTATGGAGGAAAACTGTCACTATCAATAATTGTACAATTATTATGTTCTTGTGAAGGAAACATTAATCTGTATTTATAAAGTCCTTACAAAGAGATTTAAGGATGCATACGCCTGGCCCCATTCCGGTTTTCTTCCCACGTTCATTTTTTCGGGTACCCTTGACAAATCTCTATTCAAATTATATATTGAGATGTTATAAAATGTCCTGTAAAGTGAGAAACAGTGCGATCTGTCAATAACTTCAGATCCGTGAAGATCCGGCTAAGAATAGGTCTTCAGAAACCCATGCTTGTCGTAAGCGGCGACGAATCGGGTGGTCAGACTCGCTGACTTAGTTGATGCATATCATCGTATCCCAATGCGTGGATCAATGGTCATGTTGTCAATCACTACATTGTCTGGTCCAGACTCGGATTATTAACAGATCGCTGGAATATTGCAGCGTTAAACAACAAACAAACAAATAGCCTTGCCCCAGTTATGTCCACAATGTCATCATGAGACGGTGTCGCTGTACCTCGAAATGTTACTAGTCATTGGTATAATTTTACCGGAGACGTTTACACAAGGCTCGCGTGATTCTCGTCATGTCCCGCGAGGAGTGCCTTGATATAGCGGAGTCACTAGATCCGCCATCATGGACATTGAAATCGGTCAAAACGGAAGAAAACAATAAATAAATATTTAACACATATTTAGACTTTAGAAACAAGACGTAAAAGTTTCGTGAAAAACCGCAAGATAATATACAAAAAGTAACAACCATGGAAATATAAATCAAAGATGATTAATTCAGTTACATTATTTCCTGAATATCATTAAGAGTTTTCAGTGAAATGGGGACACGGTCAAGTATAAAGTATGAGATGTAACAGTAACGAACTTTATACATTATTCAAAATGCGCGTTCTTCTAATTTCTTTGAATCACAGTGAATGAAATTCCGACAGACATATCCGAAATAACGAGTATCAGTTGGAAGTGTTTTGTCGACGGATGCAATAGGAACCTTCAATCAGTCAGAGCCACAGCTCCCATTACTAAACAGAAGCAAGGCATATTCCAGACCCCCCTTCCTACCAGCGTGAGGGTGCCTGGACTGTATTCCCGGCACGTGCCCCCCCTCCCCCCCTTTTATCTATACAACATCAGCACATCCCGTGACACGAGACCAGCGCGAGGATAGAACTCCGAAGTGTGTGCATTTCGGAAATAAACCCATTCTGACATACTGTGTGATACTTCTTCAATACTAGGAACGCAATGTCAAAAATAAGCCCTGATCAGTTTTCTCGTTAAAATATCAACGAAAATATTTCTGAATAAAATCAAATGCGTATATGTATACCCAAATAAAGCTAAGCCCATTAAACAGGCAATCTGTTCATTGAAATATATAGTCCTTTAACGGCATCATGCTATTAACCCGCAAACTAAGTTTCTACATTTAGATATAATTCGAACGGTATTTATTTTTAAATGTGTATGGATATAGATTCCGTTTGACGTAATGCTTTCTGAATGGGCGGGTATTACACTGCCTTGTATCTGCAGAACGAGAGCACCACGCCAAATCTCAAAGCATTCTCATGAATTATTACGCTCTATCGCTCGAAAGAAAATTAAATTCTCTTTACATTTTACTGAGTGCTTGAGTAGCATTTGAGTCCGCGTGGAAGTCTGCGGACCGGGGACAGGAAATGTGATCCTTATTCATCAACTGTGTTTATGTTATTGTGGGGAACTGATACCAATCTGTAGTCTCTTATCGCTTGTCTTTTCCCAAGCTACTTCAGAATTCAACAACTCATTTATAAATAACTGTTTCCTTAGCATATGCTGTATAATAGAGAATTCATGGTATAGGTCCTATAGTAGTTGCCAGTAAATTGCTGGTACGTCGATAACGACAAAGTCGGACAAATCAGGAATTGTCATAAATTTCGATAAAAAATATCGTGGATTATTTTTCCACGTATCCGAATTGGAAGTGTACTTGCCGTGGTAATTCTGGACATCTATCGAAGGGATTAAATGTGTCATTTGACAAGATCAGCGAGATTTTGCGCACCGGCTTGAACATCGCTTGTCTTCGAGGCGGTATAAGATTTTTAAATATTTACACAAATTCGGTTTATTATACACATCTATGGAAGCCCGTGCTTTCAAGTGCAAAGCAAGGGAAAAGGGTTACAATATGAACTGGGCTGAACATCCAGTCTGATATCCTTCATATGACGCAAGTATTGAAATACTTTGCTAGGAAAATGTTATCTGTGCTTGAGGTTTGAGGTTTTTTTTAAAAAACAAAAAACAACAAAACGAACTACTAGGGTCAGTATTGGTTGAATGTTGACAAGTAGCGCTGCAGCAACATATGCATTTTATCGCAACAAAACCATCTAATTATATTTTAATGATCGTATATCCTCTTTGAAATATATTATATATAATTATTTATGATGTAAAAAGTAATTATTCCATATTACTGAAACATATCTGAATATTAACGATAAACTGTGTATTTTACAAATGAGCTGATTCTAAGTTGGAAAACCCAACAAAATACTTCGTGTTTGAAATATTTAGAGAAAGATATTTCTACGCCCAATTGACGTTTATACTCAGATAACACACATATATATGTTATCAAATCACGTTGGAAACTGCCATTAATTCTTCTGTCTGGATATATTGGGGAGATAGAAATTATTTATTTTATGTTGCTTTCCTTTGAAGTATTGAGATATCTCCGAGTACGTCTGTGAGTCCCCCCCCCCCCCCCCCCCCCCCCATCTCTATCATGTGACATATTGATGTCTTTTCTACCCTCCGCTCACAACAAAATATCGGGGGATGTATGGCTCACACTGTCGGCATTGTCCTTATAATACTCGATGTAGTATATAGTATGTGGATGTTTGAATCTTATATGTAGTGCGGTTTGTATTTACATTTGATTATTTATCGTATAGAATATAGAAATTTTATT